TGGATTACAGGTCAAAGGCCCAGAGCTGATGGAGAGATGGAGCATTGACCTCCTCTTGTAGGTCTGTTTTGACATTAAACTGGTCCGAGTGGATAAAACAAACTTTTACAAAATAGAACCAAAAAAAAAATTTTCTTAAAAACTGCATTAGTGACGTTGTAATATTTTCATCTTCATCGCAGTTCTTCCACGTTCCACTGATTCCATCTGTTTTCTAAAGACAGGACAGTGACCCCCGGCCGGCCCCGCACCAACCTTTTAATCCCATAGAAAGTCAGTGGGGAGAATAATTTAGCTCATGTGTACAGCAGGACACATTAGCCCTCAGGGACAGGTTCACTCTCTGAATGAAGATGACGGGGGAGTCCAGGGAGGTCTGGGGGACGGGAGGGGAGGGGGGGGGGCGTTGAGCAGTTACAAATACATGAGCACACACAGGAAGTTGGATTATTGGTCATTTTTGTTGAAGAGACAGAGCTGAGGAACCAGAGGACAAGATGGAGGAGACAACGTTAGGAGGGACATCAGGTCTCATCATGATTCACACCAGCATCCACCCCCCCCCCCCTCCTCCCCTTGTGGTGTGAGTGTGTCTTTATTTTCACCATCAGTCTGCTGGAGTCTGAGCCAAAAGATCCATTAGTGCTGATTGAAGAGCACAAGGGTGCAGCTTCACCCTGAGAGAGACACAGGGAGAGAGGGGGGAGGAAACAGGAGAGAGACGGGAGAGAGCCAAAGAGGAAAGATGGTAGAGATGGAGAGGAGGGGGCAGAAAGATGGGAGTCAAGTGGGGGATGGGGAGAGAGGGCAGGAGAAAATCAGTCACTGGTTCTGACACTGGTACAGTTATACGGTGTAGTATCACAGTTACACAGTGTACTACTACAGTTACACAGTGTGGTGACTGTCAGACAGAAGCAGCAAAATGCTCCTCAGGGAGGAAAACCCGCGAGGGGTGAGGGAAGGGGGGAGGCATGGGAGACAACACAGTGACACCGGAGCAGAGCAAAGACCATGGATTCACGCTCCAGAGCGCCGCCAAGTGACAGCGTCTGACTGGGAGTTTCCCCAGAGATCGGTCTTTATGTCACATGACTGCTCAGAGTCCGACACCGGAATAGAAACAGACGTTAGTTCACAGGAAGTGTACAAAGAAGTGAAGAATAAAAAAAAAAAATGATGTCATAACAAATAAACAAAGTATTCAACCTGAAGATGTGAAATACATTTTTATCAGGTGTTAGAGACAATATATCAATATATGTTTTATATTATATGCATTATATTACATATGTTAGGATAATATATTTAACGTATACTTTTTATAGTACGGGTCTTTTAACTTACCAACCGGTGCACATCTTTTAGCGTATCTTCGGGTTAAGACCGCTAGGGGGAGCAAATGGGCTAAAAATAAACACCTCTGTGCCGTTTGCCAGTGGTGATGAATATCTCACAATAATAATAAAATGTATAATAATAAAAAAAAAAGTTAAAAAAGTCATAAAATATGGAGAGAGGACATTATGGACGGACGGCTGTAAGAATCTGATGAACCCCCTTAAAAAACAACAACTTTGAAAACTTTTTTTTTACTGCTGATGAGAAAAATGACTGGGTTTCAACACGTAATGATTCACAACAGTCGTCATACAACTTTGAAAACTAAATAAATAAATAAATCTAAAAATAAATGTATCTGAAATTGGAATTTAAAAACCGTGGGGGGGGGGGCAGTTTCTTTATTAACTGACCACTAGAGGTCAGACGAAAACAGAAGCTGAGTGATGACTGTGACGCTGTGTAAACACGTCACAGAGAAATTAGTGAAATAAAACAAAAAACAAATTCCTTATTTATTGATTTGTTTCAGTCCTGAATAAATATGATTACGATTAATCACAATTAACTGATTAATCAACAACTACTTTGTGATCAATCAAACTAAGCCACCTTCAAACTTTGACAGCTGTGAGTTGATGGGTATTTACTGCGTGGCTTTTATGTCAGACTTGAATTAGCACTCGGACAGTTCTGCACAGTTGATCACATGATCACGTCCAATGAGGCGGAGAAGCAGCGACAAGAGCCGAACAGGAGCAGCGACTCCTCCCGGTTTATTATGACGGGCTCCAGGCGGCGGCGGCAGCTGTGTCTCCAAATGTTTACGTTCTCCCAAATCTTGTTTGTCTCTGAGCAGATGGATGTTGATAAGACCTCCTACAAACATCTGACACTGGAGCTGAAATCGAGCTCCAATCAACATGTGAGACTACAGCGCCACCACGTGTTCTGCTCAGATAACGGCCTCGGCTGTCTGATGCCAAATGTCAGCACAGCCGAGACCGACATTCTGGGCTGCATCCCAAATAAGAATTATTTTTGCCTGTTTTTCTGGTTTTTGACATGTGTTCACAGACACGGAATTACACAGAAACTATTTGACAGCAGTACTGTACTGTACTGTACTGTACTGTACTGTACTATATACTGTTCATTTCCTTCAAAATCAATCATCAAACAAATCAAACAAAATATCAAATTACTGTACTATATACTGTTCATTTCCTTATAAATCAAACAAAATATCAAACAAAGAGTAAATATTCAGATCTTATTTTTAGATCTTAGAATCCTACAAATGTAACTTTTTCAGAACTTTCCAGTGAACAGCTAATCCTCCGTGTTCTCCTCCTCCTCCTCCTCAGCAGATATAAACATGAAGCTCGGAGGGGACACTCCCATCTGTCCTCCTCGTTAGGACACGTGAAGAAACTCACCCTGACCAACAGTTAAACTCTCAGACACCCAGGAGTGAAGATGGCCCACGGGGATCTCCGCGGCTCGACTTTCCCTGAAATAGTGGAGCTGAATGTGGGTGGGCAGGTGTACGTGACCAGGCTGGAGACCCTCACCGCGGTGCCGAGCTCCCTTCTGTGGACCAAGTTCACCCAGAACTCCCCAGGAGACCTGCCCAAAGACAACCAGGGCCGGTTCTTCATCGACCGGGACGGCTTTCTCTTCCGCTACATTCTGGATTATTTACGGGACTCTAAACTCTATCTTCCCGAGTTCTTCAAAGAGCGGAAACGACTGCAAAAAGAAGCCGACTTCTTCCAGCTCCCGGGGCTGTCGCAGAGCCTGGCCAGCAACGGCCAGGAGGAGGAGGAGGAGGAGGAAGAGGCGACAACGGAGCTCAGCGGCTGCAGCAGCCCCGGCCCCTCCGCGAGTTCCTC